AAAATTACAATAAAATATATTTTGATTTACATGTAAATTTCACAAGATTAACTATTGAATGGTCAAAAAGTTTAAATTGTAAGTCATATTCACTCTTTGAATACTAAAAACTTTAATATTTATAGTTTAGATTCACAATTTGAAATTCAAACAGATCAATACGATTTTTTTTTATATGGATGTTGAAAGTTTGGTATATTTAGTTTTTTTTCTAATAAAAATAAACCTAAATTTTGGCGAAAAAAATCAACAAAACCAATTGATTTTTTTTAAAGAAATTTTCTTTTTCATATGTCAATATAGATTCTAGGGGTGTGCAAAAAACCGCATAAATCGCACAAACCGCCTACACCGCACCAAACCGCACCGCATAATGCGGTTTAAAATTTTGCGGTGCTGTTTGCGGTTTGTAATTTTGTCAAATTGCAGTATGCGGTTTGCGGTTTTGTAGTTACCAAACCGCGGTTCAAACCGCATCGCGTCGTGTGTGTGTATATATATATATATATATATATATATATATATATATATATATATATATATATATATATATATATATATATATATATATATATATATATATATATATAGGGAGTGGTTCAAATGAGAACAAAAAAATGTTAAGAACCATAAGAACCTCTAACTTTAGATGTTTATAAAGGGTTTAGGGTAACCCTAAACCCTGAACCCTAAACCCTAAACCCTAACCCCTAAACCCTAAACCCTTTATAAACACCCTAAACCTTAAACCCTAAAACCTAAACTCTTAACCCTAACCTCTAAACCCTAAGCCCTAAACCATTTATAAACACCCTAAACCTTAAACCTTAAACCCTTTATAAACATCTAAAATTAGAGGTTCTTACGGTTATTACCCTTTTTTGGTTCTTATTTGAACCTTTATATATATATATATATATATATATATATATATATATATATATATATATATATATATATATATATATATATATATATATATAAGTTTCCAATCACCAAATACTTCATATTGTCCAATAACTTTATGTTATATCATGGTGGTTAAATATGGTAATTAAAGACTTAAAAGGTTATGTTATCAAATTTCTTAAGTTATAACAACTTAGCAAAACATTATGTGGTATTTTTGTTTGCAATATTTATGCCTTTTAAAGGGTATGCAATATTATTAATAAATTTCGAAAGTGTTTAAATATAATGAATAACAACCAAAGTTATAAATTGAAACAACTCATCAAACCGCATAAACCGCACATAAGTCGTACAAACCGTCCGCATGAAACCGAACCGCGTAATGCGGTTTAGAGCTTTTGTGGTGCGGATTGCGTTTTCAAAAAAACTCAAACCGCATATGCGGTGCGGTTTCAACTCTAAACCGCATCAAACCGCACCACAAACACCCCTAATAAATTCTATTAAAAGAGGATAAACAACTATCCTTTTTGATATATTTGTTTTATTTTTTTCCGATAAAAAACATGATCTAAAACAAAAAGAATATTTTGTTATAATTTGATGGATACGTTTGTCAACTATCCAAATCTATAACTATTTCATTTGGTATTTACCGTTATAATTTCCGATCCTTACGATTTATTTCTTAATATCTATTAATATCTATCGAAGCTAACCTTAGGATAAAATAATAATAATAATAATAATAATAATAATAATAATAATAAACGCCACCTCTAATCCGTAGTATGGGAATTGAAAGGTGAAGGTAAGATGAATCTAGAAACAACAATACCAAAAGTATTTCTATGTGCTTTTATTTTTTTAGTTTTTATTTGCCGAGAAGAAATTAAATTTTCTCCTACTTTGTAGAAATCATTTTAAGTCCGTAAGGAAAGTGACTTTGCCTCCCATGAAAAACGGTAGTTTTTATACGAATTGGATGGCTGCTCTTAAGTCTAAAGATTGTGTCGACATCTCTTATGGCATGAATAGTTTTCTTCGTCTAAAATTACAAGATATAGTGGTGTTGATGGATCAATTATTCGTTGCCTTTTGCTCGTCAACTTCAGTGGTGCTAGGGAGAACACCACTCAATTCAATCTTTCTTTACTTATTTTTTTTGCATCTTGATAATTCGACGTTATGCTTTGACTTTCACTTTTGAGATTGGCCTTTTGGGTTGTTTGTAAGGTTATCGTGATCTTTCTTTAATATAGCCCTATTCATACAAGCGTTGCCTATGTTAACATAACCGAGTTTACTTTTTTATACCACATTAATATTTAATACCCAGAAGAAATCTTTTACCGCTTATTTTGTAAACAGACTATATTTGTATCATACTGACCAGTCGTATAGCCTGGATGCTTATAGATGAATTACGGTCCCATTGCATGCCTCGTGTTTTTGAACAATTATTTGCTAGGTCCTTGTTAAAACTATACGTACTAAATAAATAAGAAACAAAATATGAGGACTTGTATCCATATTATTATTAACAACCACGATGTCATTGCTAATTTGAAGGCCAAGATCCTCTTGAAGGGGACCTCCGCGGCTCGTCTTACACCTCCTCGAGATCAAATGTTCTGGGCAACAATCCTATCAGCCTTTAGCATTTTTCTAATGATCGAAAAACATACAGTGATCCATATAATAGGGACCAAATGACCTCTTACTTCTTTTTACAACAGGAAGAGGTGAAAATTACATAAAACTTCCATGAACACGTACTGACCGCTTTTAACCAGAAAATGCCTTTTTAGAATAGCAGAATATTTTTTAAGAAAAATTAAGATGGCAAAAAGCAAGACAAAGACAACAAACATAAAAACCAACTTCGGGGTTAAGAACCGGAGTTAACTATAATGATCAACTAATAGGTAGTTAACTTTCTGGATAAAAAACTGTTATGTACGAATCATTTTCTTTTAGAAATAAATGTCATGTAGTAACCCAAATTAATTGAATAATCAAGCAACTAGGTACTTTCCCCCCACCAATTAACTGTTTTCTTCCAAATACTCATCCATGTATTTGACATGCGTTTGCACTTAGTTTTTGATATTTCGTTCATCTGCCTATATGCACCTAGATTCTATCACTATCATGCCACAAAACATGTATAGGTTAATGTAGCTTCCCCTTTAAATTTTGACTTAGTGTGTACATCTAAAATAGTCGATCAAAATGATGGTTGCATTTAGGTTCACAATAGAGTGGGTTTTTACAACGATCTGATCCAAACCCTTATCAATTATATGAGTTTGGAGCTGAGTTTTTATTCGTTTACCCGTTAACGATCCGAACCCGATATCCCTTTTATTAAAAGGGTCGTGTATGGAATATCACTGATCCGTTCCGTTTATAACCCGTCCCGTATAAATTTTAGAATTACACATTTATATTTTATACTGCCTAAAGTTACTTTTAATTTCACTCAAAAGTTCAAAAAGAGAAGGCCAAAGACTAAGCTGTTTTTACATAGGACTCGAAGACTCGATTTCTAGACTTTCAGTCTTCTACCAAATATTTCATTTATATTTCATCAAACAATCACAAATTATATTTATAATTCAATAAATTCATTTATCAACAAGAAAAAAAAAATTACAATTGCTATTTTTTATCAATGCAATCAACTTATTACAATAATGATTTTAATTCCAATCCAAAGTCGTCAGCTATGTAATCTATTTTTTAAATCAATTTTTTTTTTTATACAATAGATGTTATTTAAGATTTAAGAAAACTGTGTTTGATTATTCAAAAAACATATAGGTCATGGAGTGGATTTGGATATCTATTGATTCAGTTAATAAGGGTATGAATTTGATTATATCAGACAATGGAGGTTACGAAGCGGGTGTAAATCAGATTTTTAAATTTTTAAAAAGGATTTGGATCAAAATCGATTCGTTCCGAACCCACACGATCGTCAGGTCTAGTTGCACGAAGCATTTGAGCCATGATTCAGTGAATTAGACTGCATGAGATAAAACACATGTGATATCACTCAAAGGTCATGAACAAGCGCCATTTTTATGGTCACGTGCTTCACTAATTTTCATAGACACATAAAAAAACAATATATTAACTTTTTCTCAAGCAGTAACACTCTTGTGTCTATTGTTTGTACATATGTGAAGCTCCTTTAATTACCAAAAAAATGCTTTATTTAGAGTACATAAATCACTTTTAAAGTATTACTCATTAGTCTAGGACATTAAACTAATGTCCAAGTTGGTTTTTGGTCACTTTTTATTACCACGCCATGCTTTTAAAATATATTCAAGTCTAAGTAAAGGTCGGGTTTCCATAACTGCCAACTCTACTAAAATGGTTCTTAACCCCACATTCGCCCATCTCTTGTCCAAAATATTATATCACATCGAATCCTTTAGTAAAGGGATGTCTGCTATTTTTTTTTAAGTTTCTATATATACACACAATAATTATTATCCCAATAGATATTGATGGTTTTATGTAGGTATCTCAGAGAACAAAATTCTTAATTTCCGGTTATAAATACTTTGTATGCCCTAGACGATTTTGTTTGATATAAACCGATTCAAGATGGTCAATCTCTAAGATAGAACCAATTCGAAATGGTTAGTCTCCCAAGAATAAAGACAACAATTAGACTCAAATAACACTACTTTCTCTTCTCCACAAATGGAAATACATGGTTTCTTAAAAATAAACAAGACCACTAATACTAGAAAATAGGAATAATGCAACATGGTTAACATAAACCATATAAACGTGCAACATCAACCAACAGCAACAGGGGAATGAATAAGTCAAACAGTAAGAAAATATGTATCATTGGAACGTGTTTGTGTGTGTGTGTGTGTGGGGGGGGGGGGGTGTTGAGGAATTCCATGCACATGTATAACCACAATCAGGATATTGTCGCTAAGTTGTATCACCGAAGGGTCTGACCATGGAGGCGGTCTTGAGTACCACACCCGAACTGTTTCGATTCCTATGCCCTTAAAAATGTCGCGCAAGCAAACATTGAGAGTAAAGAGGGTAGGAAATCATTGGTCGAATAGACGGAAAAATAGCTTGAGATGTCGGATATGTTCATAAGTAGTTGTCAATGGCGGTTGTAGCAGCGGTTCCTTTGGTGAGGGGGCAACGACGATTGTATCTTCAACTGGATTGGGTAAAGCTAGGGGTGTCAGCAGTGATAACGGTGGAGATGTCGGCATTGTTAGCATCAACGGTTGTGATGGGGACGTCGGTAGCGGTGTTGGCGGTGATGGTGGCAACGGTTGTGATGTGATAACCTCCATAATTGTGCTTTTGATCAACATGGTAGCGAGGATTTCAGTGATCTTGGTTAGCTTGGCAATGATGGAATCGAGACGGTTGTTGTTGGCGATAGTTATAGCAACAAGTTGAGCGAATTTATCGGCTATGGAGGCAAAAGACTGATCTGCCAATGGAGAATGGTGGTGGGGAGTCATTACAAGATCGGGAATGAAAGCACCAATTGATATGAACTGATTCGAGATGGTCAATCTCGAAGATAGAGCCAATTCGAAATAGCTAGTCTCCCAAGAATAAAGACAACAATTAGGCTCAAATAACACTACTTTCTCTTATCCTCAAATGCAAATACATGGTTTCTTAAATAGTAAAATAAACAAGACCACTAATACTAGAAAATAGGAATAATGCAACATGGTTAGCATAAACCATATAAACGTGCAGCATAAACTAACAGGGGAAAGAATAAGTGAAACAGTAAGAAAATATGTATCATTGGAACTAGGGGGTAAGGAATTCCATGCACATGTATAACCACAATCAAGATATTGTCGTTAAGTTGTGTCACCAAAGAGTCTGACCACGGAGGCGGTCTTGGGTACCAAACCAGAAATGTATGATTGTTTCACTATTCCAATTTAAGGAAATGGTTTCAACTTCCTTGGATGTTGATGCTAAAGCCAACAACATGACCTTCATGGTGGAATGATTATGGATTTTGTTTATTTCATTCCCGATAAACACATTCGTTAGGTGTAAAAATACTAGTTGTCTATCTATTGTTACTTCCACTAGATAGTCATCTAATATACATAAAACTCTCGAAAACTTCTAGATTCCATAATAGTATAATCCAAGATTTTTGGTTCTTTTCAAATTGCTAATAATGAACATATATTCTTTTAGAAGATCTTTATTTGTGTTACTTTTAACCTTAAAAGTTTCTTAATTTAAAATGATATATCATTAATAAATAATTTTAAAAAATAAAAACATTCACTACTAGAATACATGCCTTTAATGACACATAAACCATGACACGCTTTGATTTATGTTATGCAAAAGAGAGTGACCTTAAAATAGTGTCATCTCTCCAAAAAAATTTAAGGATTTAGGTCACGCATTATTGCATGCTCTTAAATTACTGTCTCAAGAATAAAAATTAAAAACACGAAGGGGACTGTATCTTAAACATGTGTCCTCTATAACTGTCGCTTTATAATTTTAGTGAAACGCGCGTCTCTTGTTACAAAAATCGCAAGTACTACTAATATTCTAGGGATTTTTTGAACAAAAATCAAAATACTTACTTAGTCAGTACACTCTCTACAATTGATCTACTCTACGACCTCGCCTCACCTCGTCTCGCCTTTCCGACAAACTCTCCTCCTTTAGGTTAGTTCTTGTTGTTGACGACCTTGGGCTCACCTGACATCGTTGGACACGCCTCAAATTTACGTACCCTATGTCCAATTAAGGTATTGGAAAAGTCACTTGTTAAGCTCTATGTTCTTGTTGAAACGATTCAGGTAAAGTCAACTTCCCTGGTTGACGAGTTAACCAAATAACAGAAGACAAAGAAAAAAAAAGTCGGCACAAGGAGAAGAAGTGTTGGTAGCCATGAATCTGATGCTAAATTAAACACATTCATGGGTTTCTCATCTTGTTAAGCTTCTCAAATTGAACACAAAGTAAAATTGCAAGAAAACCGGATCTTTGTGTTATTTAAACATATCCTCTTAGTTGGGTTTTATCCTAATGTATATGATTACTCTTAGTTGGGTTTTCTCCTCTGATTGTCGATTATTTTTATGGTTTTTCTTTCTTATGGTAAAGCAATAAATAACTATTTTCATGCACTAGGATGCTCAGTGATGCATGGCTCAAATGATTCAGTAGCAACAATCTTGATTGATGGAGTGCATGAGTCATTGTTTCTTATAGCGGCTCTTTTCAAGGTTTCGTCTTGTGTAAACTTCCATGGGAGGTGCATGAAATCAATGAATATAAAAACAAAATGATCTTGTAAAATAAAAAAGAATCTAACTGGTATCAGATGACACTTATGTATAATAATACATAGAAAGGGTAAAACTGTAAATCATATGACCTGAGTCTCCTGGGGGAGGTTTACTGCTATATTCTAGCTGGAGACTAATTCCACTTGAGGCTCATCATTTGTGTTATCATCTTTTTGATCTAACTTAGCCTGATGTCCACCATAGTTGTCCTATAGCAAAACCAAGCATCAAAGACAAACCTTTGTTAGAATGTGTATATATATATATATATATATATATATATATATATATATATATATATATTAACTAACATGGTCCATGAATAGAATTTACTGTTATAGTTTCATGGGTTCAAGCTCAATCCACTCATATAAGTCTCTAGAAAACCATTAAATTTGGAGATCAGAGAAAAAAATGATTGTAGAGTTTAAGTAGGTTTGGTATTTCTTGGATAAGAGAACAACCTTTCTTGTAAAGCTTTGAGTTGAGTATCACAGTAACCTTGGGATGCAAATAAGTCTGACTTTCTAGTGTCGAGTATGACTTTTCAAGTCTATTTTCCACACCAAATACATGTGTCCTTTGAAGGGTTCCAAATATAAGGTGAATTGCATATACTTGAGTTTTGGAGTCTTGTCAACAAAAACAATGAGTTTTTTTTATTATGTTTAATCCTTCATTTTTGTAAATAAAAAACTCACAGTTATAATTAAATAATGTATAGTGTAGACTTAAGTTAAAACTCTATTAAATCACTTTGTTATTATTTAATGCAATGTTGTGTAGTCATCGATCCTATTGGTTCTCCATTTTTTGTTATTACTTTTTTTTTACCTTTTAACCTTTTGACAACATGTAACAAGATGCTTCTTTTTTAGGTTGAAGAGAACAAAGTGGAGGTTTCTACATATTTGGATCCTCCCTCAATTCCTTACCTGAGTGAACTATAGTATACGCATCGAGGCAGTTGAAGCCTCATGAGACGAGATATCCCACCCACGAACTAGAGCTTGGGCCGGTGGTGTTCGCCCTCAAGATATGGCGCCACTATTTGTATGGTGTTTAGTATACCATATACACGGACCACAATAGCCTAAAGTATATCATGGATCAACGCAACCTGAATATACGACAAAGGAGCTGGTTGGATGTGGTGAAAGACTATGACTGTGAGATAGTGTATCATCTGGGCAAGGCTAATGTGGTAGCCGAGGCCCTGAGCCATAGAGCAGAGAGTGCCCCGATTCAAGATGTGTGTATGAGGACGACAGTGATGACTCCAGTCTTGGATACCATTCAAGAGGCCCAGCCGGAGGCCATGAAACCGGAGAACCGCAAGAGGGAGCGGGTGATTGGGCAGGCGTCTAAGTTTGAGACGGATAGTTGAGGACTTATGACTTTCTGAGGGTGGATTTGTGTGCCCTATACGAGCAGATCTCGGCATATACTGATGGATGAGGTGCATAAATTGAGGTTCTCGATCGATTCCGAGGCCACTAAGATGTATTTAGACCTGTAGATAGACTATTAGTGGCCCTGTATGAAGAGATATATTGCTTGGGTAGTTGAGAAGTGTTTGACTTCTCGTCGGGTCAAGGCAAAGGACCAGCGTCCACATAGTCCATTGCAGCCTCTTGATATTCCCCAGTGGAAGTGGGAATAGATCTTGATGGAATTTATCACCAAGTTGCCTAGGACTGCGCTAGGAGTTGATGTGATTTGTGTGATTGTGAACCGACTGACGAAGAGTGCTCACTTCCTTGCTATTAGTGAGAGCTCTTCTGCAGAGAGATTGGTAGAGATCTTTGTAAGAGAAGTGATAGTGTGAAATGGAGTATCGATCTCGATAGTGTCGGATTGAGACATGCATTTTACTTCCAGGATTTGGAACAAGTTTCATGAGGAGTTGCGAACGTGCTTGCATTTTAGTATTGCGTATCACCCACAGACAGACGAGCAGAGCAAGCGGAGGATTCAGACATTTGAGGACATGTTGTGTGCATGTTTCATGGACTTCGTAGGAAGTTAGGACACCTACATGTTGGATTAATGTCTAAGTCCATAACTATAACTGGTAAAACTTGACCCAACCCGGCATGGTCCATTTGGGTTGCATGGCATCAGGACAATTAGATAGACAAGATGAGGAAAAAGGATACTAGTGATTTATATTAATATATTATAATTTCTGATATATTAATATATAATCATATTATTTAATTAGTATTGATCAACAATTAATTTATAATTAATTAAGTGATCAAAAGGAACTAATTAAATATGGACTCTTAGATATATATGTGTGATGGGCAAAGTTCATTTAGGTTGGGCTAAGCTTTCATGGATAGTCTATGAAGTGTTTAACCCATGGATCATATGAAATAAAGGGTCATGGGTTTAACCCTAATCTTCCACTATATAAAGATGTCCTTGGTTGGTGAAATGTGCACTAGTGTATGTACACAAAAGGGCAATGTCGATTTCACTAGTGAGAACCAAAGTATCCTTATTCTCAAGGTTATTTCTAGTGTTCATGGTGTTGTGTGAACCATTTGAGGTGTCACACTTGGGGCACTAGGCGCTCAAGCTTCATGAAGACAAGTTACATAAAAAAACGGTATGTATTTTATCTATTTTATTACCCAAGTATCAAAGATTGTATGTTAGATAGGATAATACCTTGGAATATTCATATTTGCATGTATAATATAGAAAACATAGATCCAAGGTATTTAGGGTTGCATGCACACTTAGGGCTGTTAGAATGCTTAAAATCCAACAGTGGTATCAGATCCATGGGTTGTTTTTTGTTATATTGATGCAAATGTTTTATTTCAAAGTTGACAAAAAAGGAAAAAAAAATGATGCTCATCAAATTTTAAGATAATTACTTGTTTTTGTGAAAAACTAATTATTTGTAAAATTTGAATCATTTTCTATATGAGTTGAGTTAGGTCAAATTTAGTAAAAGATAAAATGATATGATTATTTTATTAGTTTTAAAAGTTTGATCTAAAGAGTGTTTTTTTTAAACCTCCATAAGTTATAGATATGAAAAGGTTTTAAAGATATGAAGTTACAAAATTTGGTGTTAATGTTTTAAAGAATTTCATAACTTATTCTTAAGTTATGGAACATGAAAAGTTTCACCATAAAACAAGCATTTAACTCCATAA